AAACCGCGCATGCAGCATTTGCAGATTGTTGAACACTCTGCAAACGCCGGACCAATGCTTGCCAAACGCGATAGGGACGTTTGGCAAGCGTTGGTAAAACAGCCAAGTGTGAACGAGCCCTTACTGATGGGAGAGGTCTGTATGTAAACAATACAGATCTCTCCCCTGTCAGCTCCTGCACATTGCTTTGTTTTGCTCTGAATAGCAAAGCCATACAAAGCAATGTGCTTACACAGTGAAAACACACACACACCTTTGATTGCCCCAGATGGTAACTCCTTCCTGCCCGGTGTCATTAGTACAGTGTCAGCACTTTTTTTTTTTTTTTTTTTAGCACTGATCACTGTATTAGTGTCAGTGGCAGTTAGTGGCAGAATGCCCACCGCAGTCCCGCTATAAGTTGCTGATCGCCGCCATTACTAGTATAACAAAAGTAAAAAAAAATCCCAGCATCTATACGGCCATTTGTAGATGCTATAACTTTCATGTAAACCAATTAATTTACACGTATTGGGATTTATGTTTTAGCAAAGACATGTAGCAGAATCCATTTTGGCCTAAATTTATGGTCAAATTTTGATTTAAAAATTTTTTTTTTTACTGGGCATCTTTTATAGCAAAAAGTCAAAAATATAGTTTTTTTTTCTCAAAATTGTTGGTCTTTTTTTGTTTATAGCACAAAAAATAAAAAAAAAATTCAGAGGCGATCAAATACCACCAAAAGAAAAAAAAGATGTACATTTTATTTGGGTGCAACTTTGCATGACCGCACAATTGTCAATTAAAGTAACGCAGCGCTGTATCGACAAAAATGGTTTGGTCAGGAAGGGGGGTAAATCCTCTGGAGGGCAAGTGGTCTTTTTTCAATGCCATATATCTTATGAGTAAATTTGTAGATCTTACAGTCCTTAACCACTGTTTGGCATGTCCGGTTTAAAATATATTTAGATTTGGCAGTTAGCCAGCTGGATTCATCCAAACAGATCACTCTTAGAAGATCTGGTCCTCCTTAGGGCATACGACTTGGTAAATAATGAAAAGGGGTTTCCATGCAAGATCATAATTGTGTAGTCCAGAGGAGGAATATAGATGTTATATTGTAAGCTTTTTTGTGCTGAGCTTCCTTCATAATATAAATAAATATATATATATTTTATAGGAGGCTCAGCACGGAAAAGCTTACAATGGCATTGAAAAAGTTCCTTAATGTGTATTGATAGAGGTTCACTAAGATGTTTTTAAAAAAAGGAAAGAAGAATTGTGTATGTTTATATTTGTGTATAATTAACCATTTGCCCCCCAGAGGATTTACCTCCTTCCTGGCCAGTGTTACAGCGCTGCCCAAATGAAATTTACGTCCTATTTTTCCCACGAATAGAGCTTTCTTTTGGTGGCATTTTTGACTTGCGCAATATATAAATTTAGTTATAAATTTAGGCACCTCCCCAAAAAAAGTTATGAGAGATTTTTTTTTTTCACTAGAAAAAACTATATTTTTGACTACACCCCACCCAAAAGTGATCCCCATCGAAGATCCTTGGCAATCACACGTGGGCGCCACTGCCAAGTAATCACTAGCCGAGACCCGGTGATTGCCGCCAAGACGCGAATAGTAGTTGTGTGGGCAAGGCTCGCGTGTGCCCCCTACCTGGAAATGCAAAATCATGTATATATACAGCTGAAATTCGAAAAATTAGAATATCGTGCAAAAGTTCATTTATTTCAGTAATGCAACTTAAAAGGTGAAACTAATATATGAGATATAAATATATAGGAAGAACAGTGAGCGCCTAGAGTAAATAGGAACAAGCGACTATGCACATAAATGGGTAACCAACAACACCATAAACAAGAACATATAAAATCAAAACATGCAGCGCTAAGTAGTAGGTTGTAACTATAATGTCCGAGATGGCAGTCAGTCACTTCACATATATCCCAATAAAGTATATACAAGATAAAAGATCAAATAAATATGTAAAGTTTCCAATCAATGTGGGCACCGTAGTCCAGGTATCAGGGTATTCTTATTCCTTATGGGAGTGGTCATGTATCACCTCAGGTATCCTTAAGGAGTGGTAGCCCATCCTGGGATGGTGGGTCTGCGGGTTTAAAGCACTCCCCTGCCGCTGCCAGGTGCACCTGCTGCTATGACAGATCTTCATCAGGATCCTGAAAGAGGAAACCTGGACTAGGGTGCCCACATTTGATGACCCATCTCCTGGAGGGAAGATCATTCAGCTTCAGGACTCATCAGATGACACCTAGGATTTACACATATAAGGCGCAATTAATATGTGCGTTCGGTAAGTGCGCACTACCTACCCCACTGTTAGCACCTTTTGACGGATCAGGATTCACCATAGTCACCTGATTGGAACTTTACATATTTGTTTGATCTTTTATCTATTTGTATATACTTTATTGGGATATATGTGAAGTGACTCACTGCCATCTCAGACATTATAGTTACAACCTACTACTTAGCGCTGCACGTTTTGATTTTATATGTAATATATGAGATAAACTCATTACATGCAAAGCAAGATAGTTCAAGCCATGATTTGTCATAATTGTGATGATTATGGCTTACAGCTCATGAAAACCCCAAATCCACAATCTCAGAAAATTAGAATATTGTGAAAAGGTGCAATATTCTCGGCTCAAAGTGTCCCACTCTAATCAGCTAATTAAGCTATAACACCTGCAAAGGGTTCCTGAGCATTTAAATGGTCTCTCAGTCTGGTTCAGTAGGAATCACAATCATGGGAAAGACTGCTGACCTGACAGTTGTGCAGAAAACCATCATTGACACCCTCCATAAGGAGGGAAAGCCTCAAAAGGTATTTGCAAAAGAAGTTGGATGTCCCCAAAGTGCTGTATCAAAGCACATTAATAGAAAGTTATGTGGAAGGGAAAAGTGTGGAAGAAAAAGGTGCACAAACAGCAGGGATGACCGCAGCCTGGAGAGGATTGTCAGGAAAAGAGCCATTCAAAAGTGTTGTGGACTTTCACAAGGAGTGGACTGAGGCTGGAGTCAGTGTATCAAGAGCCACCACACACAGACGGATCCTGGCCATGGGCTTCAAATGTCGTATTCTTCTTGTCAAGCCGCTCCTGAACAACAAACAACGTCAGAAGCATCTTACCTGGGCTAAAGAAAAACAGACCTGGTCTGTTGCTCAGTGATCCAAAGTCCTCTTTTCTGATGAGAGCAACTTTTGCATCTCATTTGGAAACCAAGGACCCCGAGTATGGAGGAAGAATGGAGAGGAACACACTGCAAGATGCTTGAAGTCCAGTGTGAAGTTTCCACAGTCTGTGTTGATTTGGGGAGCCGTCATCTGCTGGTGTTGGTCTATTGTGCTTCATTAAGTCCAGGGTCACGCAGCCGTCTACCAGGAGATTTTGGAGCACTTCATGCTTCCTTCCGCAGACAAGCTTTATGGGGATGCTGACTTCATTTTCCAGCAGAACCTGGCACCTGCCCACACTGCCAAAAGCACCAAAACCTGGTTCAATGACCAGGGGATTAGTGTGCTTGATTGGCCAGCAAACTCACCTGACGTGAACCCCATAGAGAATCTATGGGGCATTGCCAAGAGAAAGATGAGAGACATGAGACCGAACAATGCAGAAGAGCTGAAGGCCGCTATTGAAGCATCCTGGTCTTCCATAACACCTCAGCAGTGCCACAGGCTGATAGCTTCCATGCCATGCCGCATTGAGGCAGTAACTGCTGCAAAAGGGGCCCAAACCAAGTACTGAGTACATATGCATGCTTATACTTTTCAGAGGTCCGATATTGTTCTATGTACAATCCTTGTTTTATTGATTGCATGTAATATTCTAATATTCTGAGATTGTGGATTTGGGCTTTTCATGAGCTGTAAGCCATAATAATCACCGATTGAGGTGAATGTCATCCTAAAGCCAAACTCCAGGTGTGATTTAACTTTCAAATACTTAATTTAGACCAAGCTGGTCCAAACGAATGATTACCTTCACTAATACATATGCCCGCTGGGAGCACTGTGTGAACTGTACATACAGTATACAGCTTTGTGTTCCACCAGTGGTACAGAGACCTTTCACCCCAATGCCGGAACGAAATCAAGATGGGCTGAGCGCTGTTCATGTAGCTTTGTATTTTCTGAATAAATAAGGCGTCTTTTGGCTGAAATGAAGGGCGTGACGTCATCTGTTCAGCTCTTCACCTCCGCCAACTGGAGGAAGCCTGGTATTCATTCAGAGAATACAAAGCTTCCTGTGATTGGTTCAGCAGCGCTCAGTCCGACTCAGGGCAGGACCAGAAGCCTCCATCCAGCTGCTGTATACTGTATGTAGCTGAGTCCCAGTACTGCTGCCAGAACACAGCGCTGTAGCTGAGGCTACATACAGAACTCCTAGCAGGTGCATCTGTTTGTAAACGGAATTACAGCTTGAGTTTGACCCTGAATTAGGGTTGCCACCTCATCACTTTAAAACCAAACACATTAATTAAACAGGTTCTGTGGTTAATTAAGGTGCTAATTAAACTCAGTGCCTTATCTGCATTAAATTAGCCTCAGGGCCTGACATTAATATGTATTCCATATTAAAGGGGTGAGGTGACAACCCTATCCTGAATCTTGGACTATGAAAATGCTTGCCACTTTTTCTGGTTCCACACAATCCTCTGTGGTTTTCAGAAAAGGAAGTTTCAACACCCCATAATGATGAACATGGGATTACAGCATACCCAGCAGCACTGTGAAAGGCCTGATTCTGGCTGTAATGAATGATACAAAACTAGTATTAGACTACTTGAATTATAGTTGCATTGTTTTCCAGAAAACATTAGCAGTTATTAAATTGACTCTTCTTACTTCTTAGAAATTTTTGCTCTGCTTTTTTTTTTTTTTCCTTTGCTTAATACAGTTCAATGGACGTTACAAACGTGAATGGAGCTCACATGCTCCAACATGATGAACAGCTCCAGTTCATGTGCCATATTTACCTTTTTCATGGAATCTGATATATTCCTCCTCCTTGAGGCCCAAATCCTTGATGTGATCTTTAAATTCTGTAATTCTATCTTCAGGAAGCGTGTCTTCCCTCCCTGCAAGAGAAACATTATTCATACATGGTGTTAGACTGTGTGGTTTTGTTTGCTGACTGTGCCCCTTTGGAAAGACTGTGACAGGTACTGCACTTCATTGTATATACTGCACATATAATGACTGTGACTGGTATGACACTCTTATATATGTTGCACATCTAATGACTTTGACATGTACTGCACCCTACTACATATATTGCACATCTAACGACTGTGGCAGGTACTGCACCCACTACGTATACTGCACATCTAACGACTGTGGCAGGTACTGCACCCACTACGTATACTGCACATCTAACGACTGTGGCAGGTACTGCACCCACTACGTATACTGCACATCTAACGACTGTGGCAGGTACTGCACCCACTACGTATACTGCACATCTAACGACTGTGGCAGGTACTGCACCCACTACGTATACTGCACATCTAACGACTGTGGCAGGTACTGCACCACTACGTATACTGCACATCTAACGACTGTGGCAGGTACTGCACCCACTACGTATACTGCACATCTAACGACTGTGGCAGGTACTGCACCCACTACGTATACTGCACATCTAACGACTGTGGCAGGTACTGCACCCACTACATTTACTGCACATCTAACGACTGTGGCAGGTACTGCACCCACTACGTATACTGCACATCTAACGACTGTGGCAGGTACTGCACCCACACGTATACTGCACATCTAACGACTGTGGCAGGTACTGCACCCACTACGTATACTGCACATCTAACGACTGTGACTGCACCCACTACGTATACTGCACATCTAACGACTGTGGCAGGTACTGCACCATCTACGTATACTGCACATCTAAACGACTGTAGGTACTGCACCCATACTAACTGCACATCTAACGACTGTGGCAGGTACTGCACCATCTACGTATACTGCACATCTAACGACTGTGACAGGTACTGCACCCACTACATTTATTGCACAGCTAATGACTGTGGCAGGTACTGCATTCTATTACACATACTGTTCTCCTGACAACACCTGTTTGGGAGAAACACGTTGGGTGGGGACTGATACGTGACGTCATCATGCTCACTGATGTGGGATGCAGTTGTGCTGATCTGTGATAAATGTGCTGATCTGTCTCCTGTCACTATAAGTGTAACTTTGAAATAAACTTGGTAATTGTTTCTTTTTACTGCTACACTATGGGCTTCGTTCCTTTTTTTTTTTTTTTTTTTTTTTTTGTTTTTAATGCTCAGAGAGTCAACCAAGGATTACTGTGTAATTGTGATGGCAGGATTTAGTTATAACTACAAGGCAAGGTAGCCAGGCACACGTTGATCTTCTTTTTTTATTATATATGTTGCACATCTAATGACAGCGACAGGTACTGCACTCTATTACATATACTGTTCCCCTGACAACACTTGTCAGAGAGAAACACGTTGGGCAGGGCCTGATACGTGACGCCATCACACGCTCTGATGTGGGATGCGATTGTGCTGGTCCTTGATATGATATACACGCTGATCTATCTCCAGTCACTATAAGTGCAACTTTGAAATAAACTTGGCGATTGTATTTACTGTTACACTATGGGATTTGTTCCTTTTTTTAAATCTCTGCTCATAGAGTCAACCAAGGATTACTGTGTAATTGTGATGGTAGGATTGGTTATAGCTGCAGGGCAGCAAGGCACATATTCATCTCTTTATGGGGATGTGTCCATCTGGTAAGAAAGTGTGTGGACATTGGTGGAAGGTTTATTGAAATATAATCTGTTTGCTGTGTGAACACTGTTGAGGCACCTGACCAATCTGGATGGATTGAGTTATTATTATTATTATTATTACAGTATTTATAAAGCGCCAATAGTTCGCTCAGCGCTGTACATTACAAAGGGAGACAGAACATGTGACAGAACAATACCAATACAATGCAAAACATGAGGGGATCAAGGGCCCTGCTCTTTCGAGCTTACAATCTAGGAGGGAGGGGGTGGTGGCACAGGAGGAGATAGCTGTGGGGGGGATGGATGGAGTGGTAGGAAGAGTGGAGGAGGTCGGCAAGTTAGCAGGGGGTGGGGTAGGCTTCCCTGAAGAGATGGGTTTTCAGGGTGCGCCTAAAGGAGAGGAGAGTAGGTGATAATCTGATGGGTTGGGGCAGGGAGTTCCAGAGGATGGGTGACACCCTGGAGAAGTCCTGGAGGCAGGCATGGGAGGAGGAGACCAGGGAACTAGAGAGAAGGAGGTCTTGTGAGGAGCGGAGTGTGCGTGCTGGGCGGTACTTGGATATTAGGTCAGAGATGTAGTACGGGGCAGTATGGTGGACAGCTTTGTACGTCAGTGTTAGGATTTTGAATTTGATCCATTGCGCAATCGGAAGCCAGTGGAGGGATTAACAGAGGGGGGTGGCGGAGACAGAGCGGTTGGAAAGGTGAATGAGTCTGGCAGCCGTGTTCAGGATGGACTGAAGAGGGGATAGCCAGCGGCGAGGCAGGCCAGTGAGGAGGGAGTTGCAGTAGTCGAGTCGTGATATGATGAGGGAGTGGCTGAGCTGTTTAGTGGTTTCTGGGGTTAGGAACGTGCGGATTTTGGCGATGTTGCGGAGATGGAGTCTGCACGAGTTTGTTAAAGATTGGACTTGGGGCTGGAAGGATAGGTTGGAGTCCAGAATGACACCCAGTACTCTGGCCTGCAGGGCGGGTTTGATGGTAGCGTTGTTGGATGTGACGGAGAAATCAATGGGGGGTGGTGTCCGGGCTGGGGGAAGACAAGAAACTCGGTTTTGGAGAGGTTCAATTTAAGGAAGTGGAGCGACATCCAGTCTGATATGTCGCTCAGTAGGTGTGTGATTCGGGCTGAGACCAAGGGGGTGAGGTGGGGGGTTGAGAGATAGATTTGTGTGTCGTCGGCATAGAGGTGGTAGTTGAAGCCGTGAGAGTGTATGAGTTGGCCAAGGGAGGAGGTATAGATGGAGAAGAGAAGGGGCCCGAGGACAGAGCCTTGAGGGACCCCAACAGAGAGGGGGAGTGAGGGGGAGGTGGTAGCATTATAGGTAACGCTGAAGGAGCGTTGTGACAGGTAGGATGAGAGCCAGGAGAGAGCAGAATCTCTGAGGCCGAGGGAGTGTAGTTTTTTGAGGAGGAGGGGGGGTGGTCGACTGTGTCGAAGGCCGCAGAGAGGTCAAGGAGTAGGAGCACTGAATAGTGGCCATTAGCTTTGGCGGTTAGCAGGTCGTTGGAGAGTTTGAGTAAGGCAGTTTCGGTGGAGTGTAGGGGACGGAAGCCGGACTGTAGGGGATCGAGGAGGTTGTTGTAGTTGAGGTGAGAGCATAGGCGGGTGTAGACTAGGCGCTCGAGGAGTTTAGATGTAAATGGGAGCAGGGAGATGGGTCTGAGGTTGTTTGGGTCATTGGGGTCCAGGGAGGGCTTTTTAAGTATGGGGGTGATGTGTGCATGTTTCAGAGGGGAGGGGAAAGTGCCTGAGGAGAGGGAGAGATTGAAGATGTGGGTGAGGGAGCGTAGGATGGAGGAGGAGGAAGGTCGTAGGAGTTGTGAGGGGATAGGGTCGAGGGGGCAGGTGGTGAGGCGGGCATCAGAGAGGATCTTGGAGACTTCCTCGATGGTAGTAAGGTCAAAGGTGTGGAGTGTTGGAGTTAAGAAGTATTTCTCACTTTTAGGACTTTTTCACATGAATTTATTTTTTGCACATTTCATGTCCATTTCACAATAGTATTTGTATGTATTATTGATTATGCACCTTTTATTATAATCTTTTGATAATGTTGGTATGATTTATTGACTCTTAAAGGAGCGGTGCACCTTGCTCTTATTTGACATCCTATTGCATATAAAGTATCTCCCAGAAGTGAGTACACCCCTCACATTCTTGTAAATATTTTATTATATCTTTTCATGTGACAACACTGAAGAAATGACACTTTGCTACAATGTAAAGTAGTGAGTGTACAGCTTGTATAACAGTGTAAATTTGCTGTCCCCTCAAAATAACTCAACACACAGCCATTAATGTCTAAACCGCTGGCAACAAAAGTGAGTACACCCCTAAGTGAAAATGTCCAAATTGGGCCCAAAGTGTCAATATTTTGTGTGGCCACCATTATTTTCCAGCACTGCCTTCACCCTATTGGGCATGGAGTTCACCAGAGCTTCACAGGTTGCCACTGGAGTCCTCTTCCACTCCTCCATGATGACATCACGGAGCTGGTGGATGTTAGAGACCGTGTGCTCCTCCACCTTCCGTTTGAGGATGCCCCACAGATGCTCAATAGGGTTTTGGTCTGGAGACATGCTTGGCCAGTCCATCACTTTTACCCTCAGCTTCTTTAGCAAGGCAGTGATTGTCTTGGAGGTGTGTTTGGGGTCGTTATCATGTTGGAATACTGCCCTGCGGCCCAGTCTCCGAAGGAGGGGATCATGCTCTGCTTCAGTATGTCACAGTACATGTTGGCATTCATGGTTCCCTCAATGAACTGTAGCTCCCGAATGCTGGCAGCACTCATGCAGCCCCAGACCATAACACTCCCACCACCATGCTGGACTGTAGGCAAGACACACTTGTCTTTGTACTCCTCACCTGGTTGCCGCCACACACACTTGACACCATCTGAACCAAATAAGTTTATCTTGGTGTCAGCAGACCACAGGACATGGTTCCAGTAATCCATGTCCTTAGTCTGCTTGTCTTCAGTAAACTGTTTGCAGACTTTCTTGTTCATCATCTTTAGAAGAGGCTTCCTTCTGGGACGACAGCCATGCAGACCAATTTAATGCAGTGTGCAGCGTATGGTCTGAGAACTGACAGGATGACCCCCACCCCAACCCTACAACCTCTGCAGCAATGCTGGCAGCACTCATACGTTTATTTCCCAAAGACAATTTCTGGATATGACGCTGAGCACGTGCACTAAACGTCTTCGGTCGACCATGGCAAGGCCTGTTCTGAGTGGAACCTGTCCTGTTAAACTGCTGTATGGTCTTGGCCCACCGTGCTGCAGCTCAGTTTCAGGGTCTTGGCAATCTTCTTATAGCCTAGGCCAGTGGTTCTCAACCTTTCTAATGCCGCGACCCCTTAATACAGTTCCTCATGTTGTGGTGACCCCCAACCATAAAATTATTTTCGTTGCTATTTCATAAATGTAATTTTGCAGTGGGAGTAGTAGTGCCACGTCATTGGTGTCAGTGGGAGGAAAAGTGTCCCATCACTGGTGTCAGTGGGAGGAAAGGTGTCCCATCACTGATGTCAGTGGGAGGAAAAGTGTCCCATCACTGGTGTCAGTGGGAGGAATAGTGCCCCATCATTGGTATCAGTGGGAGGAATAGCGCCCCAACATTGGTATCAGTGGGAGGAATAGTGCCCCATCATTGGTATCAGTGGGAGGAATAGCGCCCCATCATTGGTGTCAGTGGGAGGAATAGCGCCCCCTCATTGGTGTCAGTGGGAGGAATAGCGCCCCATCACTGGTGTCAGTGGTAGGAATAGCGCCCCATCGTTGGTATCAGGGGGAGGAATAATGCCCCAACGTTGGTGTCAGTGGGAGGAATAGTGCTCCATCATTGGTATCAGTGGGAGGAATAGTGCCCCATCGTTGGTGTCAGTGGGAGGAATAGTGCCCCATCATTGGTATCAGTGGGGGAGGAATAGTGCCCCATCGTTGGTGTCAGTGGGAGGAATAGTGCCCCATCGTTGGTGTCAGTGGGGGAGGAATAGTGCCCCATCGTTGGTGTCAGTGGGGGGAGGAATAGTGCCCCATCGTTGGTGTCAGTGGGGGGAGGAATAGTGCCCCATCGTTGGTGTCAGTGGGGGGAGGAATATTGCTCCATCGTTGGTGTCAGTGGGGGGAGGAATAGTGCCCCATCGTTGGTGTCAGTGGGGGGAGGAATAGTGCCCCATCGTTGGTGTCAGTGGGGGGAGGAATAGTGCCCCATCGTTGGTGTCAGTGGGGGGAGGAATAGTGCCCCATCGTTGGTGTCAGTGGGGGAGGAATAGTGCCCCATCGTGTTGTGGGGGAGGAATAGTGCCCCATTGTCAGTGGGGGGAGGAATAGTACCCCATCGTTGGTGTCAGTCGGGGGGAAGAATCGTGCCTCATCGTTGGTGTCAGTGGGAGGAATAGTGCCCCATCATTGGTATTAGTGAATCCAATGATGGGGCACTATTCCTCCCACTGACACCAATGATACTTACCTTGCTGACCCCTGCTCCAGCCTGGGCTCGCTCGCTCCCTCCCTCTCCCATGTTACAGACACTTACCTGTCAGCTGTCTTCCTTCTCCGGCCGCTCTCCTCCTCTGCACGCGCTCGATCTTCGCGGTGCCGCTCGGCTCCTCCTCTCCAAGCTCCACCTCCTCGCCGGTGATTGGCCGCCTCTCCTAGCTACAGTTCCGGCGGCCAATCACCGGCGAGGATTGATCCTGAGGGTGTGTCCAGATGACAGGGGCGGCATGTCATCCCCCCACACCTGGAGACGGATAGAGCAGCGGTGTCTCGGTTCCTAACACCCTCGGAAATATGTGTTTTCCGATGGTCTTAGGCGACCCCTGTGAAAGCGTCGTTCGACCCCCAAAGGGGTCGCGACCCCCAGGTTGAGAACCGCTGGCCTAGGCCATCTTTATGTGGAGCAACAATTCTTTTTTTTCAGATCCTCATAGAGTTCTTTGCCATGAGGTGCCATGTTGAACTTCCAGTGACCAGTATGAGAGAGTGAGAGCGATTAACACCAAATTTAACACACCTGCTCCCCATTCACACCTGAGACCTTGTAACGCTAACGAGTCACATGACACCGGGGAGGGAAAATAGCTAATTGGACCCAATTTCAACATTTTCACATAGGGGTGTACTCACTTTTGTTGCCAGCGTTTCAGACATTAATGGCTGTGTGTTGAGTTATTTTGAGGGGACAGCAAATTTACACTTATACAAGCTGTACACTCACTACGTCACATTGTAGCAAAGTGTCATTTCTTCAGTGTTGTCACATGAAAAGATAGAATAAAATATTTACAAAAATGTGAGGGGTGTACTCACTTCTGGGAGATGCTGTACTGCACATCTAATGACTGTAACAGGTACTCCACCTTTTACATACACAGCACACTATTTGTAAAAGGTACTCCACCTAAAAACAGCACATCATTTGTGACAAGTACTCCACCTTATAAGATACACAGCACACTGAGACAATACTGCGCCTCCCATTATCAATGTTCCCCATGATACCCATTACTGCATATATGCTTACCGAAAAGTTTAACAGTTGTACAGATGATCTCGTCCATCTGGCTCCTCATATATTCCATTAAAAATGTGTTATAGTCAGTCCTAGCAATGATAGTTTCACTATCTCCTTGTGCTGTGTGGAAAGAAGAGTAGAAAATACACTATGTGGTCATGTGAGATAAATAATCTGTAACAAAACAGGGCAATTCAAAGATACAAGCTGCTGAAATTAAATGTAAGTCTTCTCCTTTAAGCTACATTCACATTGACATTGGGGACGGCCAGGAGCAGCCATTGGTGAGAATCGGTAGTTTTCCTGCCAGTGGTTGTAAATGCTGCTTGCACAGTGGAGCCACCTACAGTGTGAGGGAAGGTACTAGAACCTGGTAGCTTCTTCAGCCTTAATACAGCAACAAAAGTAAGACATGTGGAAGATGGTGGAGCTTTTCAGGAGGGGGAGAAGATGGGGGCAGTGGAGGGGGAGGTTGTGTGCAAAGGTCAGAACTGAAGAGGGTGCAGAGGTAAGCAGCTGTGGAAGAAAGCTGAACTCTGCATTCTGTGTGTAGTGCACCCCCGAACTCTGCACTCTGTACATTGCACACCTCTGAACTCTGCACTCTGTACATTGCGCACCCCTGGGACAGGTAAGTGTGTGTTTTATTAAAAGTCAGCAGCTACAGTTTTTGTAGCTGCTGACTTTTAATAAACACAGAAACGGCTGAAACTTTGCTTTAATATTGTAGCGCTGCACTGGTCACTGTGTTAATTAGTTTTGCCTTATATGGGATAAGGATAATGTGCAAAAGCAGCTACTTTTTGGATTAATTATATATATATACACAATTACACTGAGTTAATAATAGGAGGAGGGTTATTGTTTATCCATATAATTGTGGCAGATTATATATATATATATAATTTATTATTATTATTTTTTTCTTTCATCGATTTATCTGTTTACAATGGCATCTGAAAGTTGGTGGGATATATTAGGCAGTAAACATGTTGTACCTGAAGTTGATGAGTTGAAAGCAGAAAAAATGGGCATCGCAGTTTGTTGTGTATGGGCTCTGTAGCTGTAGACCAGTCAGGGTGCCTTTGCTGACCCATGTCCAAAGCCAAAAGCACCTATAATGGGCACGTGAGCAGCCGGACTCAACCACAGAGTAGTGGAAGAAGTTGGCCTGGTCTGATGAATCATATTTTCTTTTACATACATATGAATGGCTGGGTGCATCACTAATCTAAGGGAAGAGATGGCACCAGGATGCAGTATAGGAAGAAGGCAAGCTGGCGGAGGTGGTGTGATGCTTTGGGCAATGTTCTGCTGAGAAATCTTGGGTCATGCCATTCCTGTGGATGTTTCTTGACACATGCCACCTACCTAAACCTCATTGCTGGCCAAGTACACCCCTTCATGGAAATGGTATTCCCTAATGGAAGTGGCCTCTTTCCACAGAATAATGCACCCTGCCACACTGCAAAAATGATTCAAGAATGGTTTGAGAAACACAGCAATAGGTTTGAGGTGTTGATTTGGCCTCCAGATTCTCCAGATCTCAATCCATGGAGCATCTGTGGGATGTGCTGGAAAAAAACAAGGTCCAATCCATGGAGGCCCCATCTTGCACCTTACAGGACTTAAAAGATCTGCTACTGACAGCTTGGTGCCAGATACTGCACCATACCTTCAGAGGTCTAGTGGGGTCCATGCCTCCATGGGTCAAGGCTGTTTTGGGAGCTAAAGGAGAATCTACTCAATATTTGGCGGATGGGCAAAAAGGTATAGGTGATTGTTGTATATACATTTTGTCATTTATGCAATCTGTTGTATTCAGCCAAGATTTTTTACTTGCAGTCACCATAACAAACACCACAAAAAAAAAGACGTACGTGATTTCCATTTGTAGTGGCCTATCTTCACAGTTGTCAAGTCGACATCCATTTGCTGACAACCCTTGTCTCTGCGAAGTGTGAAGGGAAAAAAAAATGGAATCAATTTCTAATCCTCTAAATTCTATTCGTATTTAAAGTGTGTCACTAGTCAAAATGTGTTTTTTATTTTAATTTTGTTTTTGATTTGGACAGAACAAAACCATTAGAACTTGTTTTTATGCTACTGGTCAGAGGAAGTCCTTTCACGTTCTGCCAGTGAAAGCAATGTCACTGCAACAGGAAGTGACTAGTAAGGAGAAATCTCTTTTCTAAAGCTGGTCATGCACTATACAATTTGATTGCACAATCTCTACACAATCCCCCTCCACAGCAATGTAATAGAAACTTTACCTAAAAATCCTTTGCATTTGTATCCAGTCAGGCAGATACTTGTACTACATAGTTGGTGGTAGATCTAAAGCAGATTGTACAATTAGATTGCAAGATGTATGGACAGATTTATTCTCTGCACACACATTACAATCTGATTGTACAATCACTTTTAGACCTACCAACAAGTATGTAGTGCAAGGCTTGTTCTGATACAAAGTGATTGGATAGTTTATGTAGATCTAAGGTTGATTGTAACATACCATGTTGGTTTTGCACTTGTGGATGGTGGAAGGATTACTATTGGCACTGAAGAATTTCATGAAAATATAAGTTTTTTTTGGTCACTGGACTTTTTTTGTATGTGTCACTGGACTTTTTGTTTTTGTATGTGTCACTGATTTTTTTGTTTTTTGTATGTCATTAGATTTTTTTGTTTTTTTGACACTTATATAAAAATTGTAATCTTTGTATTAATATTATTTATAGGATAAGGTATTTCACATATACAGATTTTTTTTTGTGTGTTTTTTGCGTTGTTTTTTGAGTTGAAGAAATTTTGTGGTTTTATACCTGTGTACAGCGGCATTTCACGTAAAGAGTGTGTTGGGAAGGTGGTCCTGGGCGCTGTGGTTCTTTTTTCTTGTATTCAATATATCTACTTTTATATTTTTTATATTTCTAAATGTTCTGTATGTGTTGTGTGTATATCTGTTGTCTGCTGGTTTTTGTAGTTCTCCTTGCTCAAAAATGTCTGCTCAGCAACCCCTCCCATCGAGTGGACTTGAGAACAAAGATAATATTTCTTTGCAAGATAAGACTTAGAAGAAGCTCACGCCTATATTCTGAAAGATGATTGTTTTCATGTAAAATAACCAATCAAAGACTAATATAATGCTAATGCTGCTCTCACGTGATTTTTGCATCATTTTACATATATAAACTCACTTTTTCATTCCAATAAATTAGAAGAAGTTTTCACAGACCGAACGCGTGTCAGTGTGAGTTTCTTTAGGTGCGCGCACTACAGAGCCAGGGTGATTAATTAGGACAGGAACAGATAATCACTGGACACTAATGCAGGCCATAGATGGGGAGAAAACTGGCCGATTCTTCTTTAAGAAAAGAAAAATCAGTCGTTCAAGCGGCCGACGTTACCAGGAACGGTAAAAAACGGCCGATTTTCATCCCGTCTACAGCCGGCAAAAAGTGTCTCTGCAGAGAGCTCCGCTATTTCTTTGACAGTTCTTTGACATTTATAGTGACTGCAACATTGTATCTATTTGTATCCATTTCGGAAACAGATGTTTTTATTTGGAAACAGATAGATACATTGTTGCAGCCACTATAAATGTCAAAGAACTGTCAAAGAAATAGTGGAGCTCTGCAGGGACACTTTTTGCCGGACTGGAATTCTGCTTCTTCTTCATCCTCTTCTTCTTCTTCTTCTTTTTCCTCTTCTTCATCTTCATCCTCTTCATCCTCTTCTTCATTTTCTTCTTCTTTTTGTCTTCCTCTTGCAGGTCACTGCTCATGCGCAGATTTTTTTATCGGTAAAAAGATCGGCCGATTTGCCCATAATTGCCACGTAAATCAAAATACCGAAAAACTAGCCCACTAACGATCCGAAAACCGGCCGATTTTATTTTCGGCCAAAAAATAAGCTGATTTTCGACCCATCTATGGCCTGCATTAGGCTGGCAATACATTATACAATTTTCTTGAGAATTTTGCTTTAAATTTACCAAAAACCATATAATAGGAGGTCAAACCTAACCAACACTTTCAATCATATCCAATTAGGCAGGCCCTTGCACTACATAGTGAAAGGTAAATCTAAAGGAAATTGGGCAGAAAATTGTAAGAAAATTGTATAGTGTATGGCCAGCCTTAGTCCTCACTAAATCAGTACAAGGACCTGCCTGATTTGATACCCAAGAAATGATTGTTCAGATGAGTCCTTTTTATAATATGTCATTTTGGGAAATCTAAAAGAGATTGAACCGATATTGTACAATCAGATTGTACAAACATCACAATGGCAATTAAAACATTTTTTTACTAGTGTACTAAAAAAAGGGAAAAAAATGAAAGAGTTTTTACTAAAAGTGTATTGCTTGGCACCATTTTTGTAAGAAGGGTTAGACCAGGGGTGGGCAAACTTTTTGACTTGAGGACCGCAATGGGTTCATATATTGGACTCCGGGGGCCGGACCAAGAGTAGATGAATGATGTGTATGTGTCATCCATAGTAAGTATAGTAATATTCCCCCATAGTAAGCATAGTAATTAATCCCCCATATAGTAATTCATCCCCCATAGTAATTCATCCCCCATATAGTAATTCATCCCCCATATAGTAATTCATCCCCCCCATATAGTAATTCATCCCCCATATAGTAATTCATCCCCCATATAGTAATTCACCCCCCATATAGTAATTCATCCCCCATATAGTAATTCATCCCCCCATATAGTAATTCATCCCCCATAGTAATTCACCCCCCATATAGTAATTCATCCCCCATATAGTAATTCATCCCCCATATAGTAATTCGTCCTCCATATAGTAATTCATCCCCCATATAGTAATTCGTCCCCCATATAATTCATCCCCCATATAGCAATTCATCCCCCATATAGTAATTCATCCCCCTTAGTAATTCATCCCCCCATATAGTAATTCATCCCCCATATAGTAATTCATCCCCCATAGTAATTCATCCCCCATAGTAATTCATCCCCCATATAGTAATTCGTCCCCCATATAGTAATTCATCCCCCATATAGTAATTCATCCCCCCATATAGTAATTCATCCCCCATATAGTAATTCATCCCCCATAGTAATTCATCCCCCATATAGTAATTCATCCCCCCTATAGTAATTCATTCCCCATATTAATTCATCCCCCATATTAAGTCCCCAAGTCCCCCCTGTGTCAATTCACTTACCTTTGCTCCGCGCGTTCCTCTTGTACCTCTTGTTCCCGCGCCGTTCGGTGTAGCATGAAAATCTGTCTCCTATGAGGATCTGTCCCCCTCGACGTATCTGCGCATGTGCCAGTTTCAGGCATTAGCAGCCGATAGGCGATCTCCGGCACATGCGCAGATACGTCGAGGGGGGACAGATCCTCATAGGAAACAGGGCGGACTGTGAGAGGAGCCTAGCTCCGCGGGCCGGATTAAAAGGTCCGCCGGGCCGTATACGGCCCGCGGGCCGTAGTTTGCCCATTGCTGGGTTAGACCCTCCGCTAATGCTTCATTGCTGTCTGTGTTCTTATTAGGTGAGATTCACCCCTCCATGTTGGTGACAATTATTACCGAGAAGGAATGTGAGGGGACAGCCAAAGTTTAAAATGTGTTCCCAGATCAAGAAGTGAGGGGAAATCTTCCAATAGGGACATCTGTTCTGGGGACAAACCTTACTTAGGGAGATTTCCTCTGACTTCCTTTTGCATCCTTGGGACAAGAAGTGAAGAACATTTGCCCAATGGCAAGCAGACGACAACAATAAACTGAAAGGAAATTGGCCAGAAAAATGTTCTGGCGTTACTTTTCTTGTGGGTCACAGAAGTACAGTTACTTTTGGCTTCCTATGACCCAGAGCTACAAGGATAGTTAAAGTTGACAATATTGTCGGGATCCACTCCACTGCCTGATTGACAGCTGGCTCCACCTTTCAGCATGCAGTACAGAGCAGGAGCCAGCTGCTCACACCCCCTTCTCAGCCTGGCGCTTCATTGAGCACTGGAGGGCAGAGCGGTAACTGACAGTCACCACTATCTGCTTGGAGCAGACCGAGAACTGAGTGATCAGAGGTCATGTGATGTGAAGTGATGCTGTGGATTGCATCGCACCATGCTGCGTGAAAAACACTGCATGCCATACTTTTCTTTTTTTTTTTTTCTTTTTTTTCAGTGTGTACCACTGCAGCATGGTGGCATGAAGTGGCATGATGGGGGCAAAGGTTTTTGTTTAACGCAGTAGTCTATTCACAAAGTGTACCTGAATTTGACTTATTAGCAGGGCCAGATCTAGCTGATCTGATCTTGGGGTGCAGTAAAATAAGTCGGGGGGCATAATGCATGCTTTTTTTACCATGAGTCACAACCCGGGAGTAGCGCCTGACAGGTAGTTCAAAGGTGGTGCAGGATTGAACAGGTACTATACAGGTTTTATGTCAATATATTTGAGAAGAATATTTTTAAAATATATTTCAAATATATTTTTTCTTTCCATATGGGAACCCACGCAGACACAGGGAGAACATGCAAACTCCAAGCAGGTGGTGCCGTGGTTGGGATTCATGTTATTTTATGCATGCCTGTTATACCACATGCATGTTGTTTTTTTTTTTTTGTTTTTTGTTTTTTTTCGTGGAAGCTATAGTACTTCCCCACAGACTATTTTTTTATTGACAGTCCACCTTGTAACTTCATAGTCCTAGTCAGGGGTGTGGACTGACAACTCATGGGGCCCCCGGGCAATAGGGGATCATGGGGCCCCTGTGTCCTCTCCAACACCCAAAAAAGCCTATGAAAAAGCCAATGAAAGGTACCAGGGGCATTTCATGGGGCCACCTACTAACCTCGGGCATACTTACGTCTGAAAGGAAGTGCTGCTTTTCATGTGCCCATTGTTCATGGAATAGATGATGACGGGGGCTGGCATATTCTCTGACTTCATTTGCAGAAAGAGTTTACAGTTGGATGCTGCGGAAATTCCATACCAAACACCTCCAACCTGCAAAAAAAAAGTAGACCATGAAACTAAAGTGTGGTGGTTTTGTGTTTTTTTGGAGTTTTTTTTAAGAAATGTTATTTATGCTTTAGTATTTCTTCAAAGTCCCAATACTAACAAACCAGCAATTTAAAATGAACAATACAATAACGCCACATTAAGGGGTGGGCACTCTTATTTAGACATATACGCTCTCGTGCTAGTTTTTTTTTCTCTCTGCTAGTGTCATCTTAGTTCAATGAAATGGAATTGACTTTCTTACATTGCCATTCTAATATACTTCGCACCCTACTCTAGTTAGGCTGTTAGGTTAAATTAAATGTTTGGCTCCACTGTAGTGAGTGCAGCAGTGATTGATTGTTTTTGTCTGTTCAAGGTTTCCCCAGCTGGGTGTTTTGGTTCCTCTCACCTGTTTCTGGAAGAAGCTTCCAGAACATAGGGAAGGGAGATTCAAATAGCCAGAATGAATAGTTATCATGCTCCAGCCAATCCCTGGAAGGAGGCATCCAGAAGGTGGCTGGGGAGGTAATAAATGCATGAGAGGCCTGTGCAGACAAAGTGTTCTTTCCTCTCCAGGGAGGGTTCCAGTTCTTCTGGGGCTGCTGCTGCCCTGGAAGTTTGCTACTGAAACTGCAGGCTGGGCTGAAGGCCTGGAGAAGACTAATGGATTTTGTTGGAGCACACTGTCTTGAGGTCCTGGTCTGAAAAAGGATCTTTTTATCTCCTCACTGAGGAATCTACCTGCGGATGCTGGGTGGTAGACAGCCCCTGGGACATTGTGGGTAAGACCTGATTTGGGACTGTAGTGCTGTAGCATTGTAGACTGTAGCCTGCTCCTATAAGGATTTTCTGCTGAGAAGTTTGTCCTACCAGTGATTGTGATTATAGTTGGCGTATCCTGTTACCCTAAGCCCCCCCCCCCCACTGCTGTTCAAGTACTCCAGCAATAACTTCTAAAAAGACCTAGCCTAGACTAGTATTGGTGAACCTATGGCATGCATTCCACAGTGGGCACACAGAGCCCTCTATGTCGGCACACAAGCCAAGTCGCCCCAGCATCGGATAACCGTGCCCATAGGGGCCATGCACTTGCTCCGAAAGGAGTAGTGGTGCCAGGCGATGTCATGAGTTGTGACTCATTAGCTGCGACTCGTCCAAGCTTTTGCATAGCCAGTCAGTGCAGTGCCAAGGATATATATATTGGACTGGCTGTGAGTTTTTTAATACATTCATTTTTATTAACACAAGATTTTGGCTTGTGCTGGTGGTCAGTGGAACTTTGCCCCCTTGTGCTAGTGGTCAGTGGAACTTTGCCCCCTTGAGCTGGTGATCAGTGGACTTTGCCCCCTTGAGCTGGTGATCAGTGGAACTTTGCCCCCTTGCGCTGGTGGTCAGTGGATCTTTGCTCCCTTGCGCTGGTGGTCAGTGGATCTTTGCCCCCTTGCGCTGGTGGTTAGTGGATCTTTGCCCCCTTGCGCTGGTGGTCAGTGGAACTTTGCCCCCTTGCGCTGGTGGTCAGTGGAACTTTGCCCCCTTGCGCTGCTGGTCAGTGGAACTTTGCCCCCTTGCGCTGGTGGTCAGTGGAACTTTGCCCCCTTGCGCTGGTGGTCAGTCAGGATCTTTGCCCCCTTGTGCTGGTGGTCAGTGGATCTTTGCCCCCTTGTGCTGGTGGTCAGTGGATCTTTGCCCCCTTGCACTGGTGGTCAGTTTTAAGAAAAAAGATGTTAATGTATGGGTTGTTTTTTCTAAACTAAAACCTCAGTACTCCAGTTTAATTGCAGTATTGGCGCTTTTCGATAAATAAGTGGGTCCTGGGTTGCAGATCGGGCACTCTGGCTCCAAAAGGTTCACCATCACTGCCCTAGACTGAGTCTGAATTGTTGGTGTGCATGGGACTGTGCTTGTGTGACTGGCAGCCTCTGAACCCGTGTCGATCTCCGCGGCCTCTGCAGGGGTGAGTGCTACAACACCTTTAGTTATAAAATATGTCATGAACTATGGATGTGAAACTTTCTCAAACTTGGATAGACAACTTCAATTTATATGCAGTTACATTTAGGGAGCCCAATTCCCTACTACCAGTAGGATGCAAAAATGCAACTTTCTCTGCAACACTCATGCTCTTCCCAGCATTCTCCTGCAGACACTCCTCTATCCGTCTAGAGGTGTAGTTTCTTCTCTAAATTGAATGACACCCTGTACCATTTTTTTTTTTCCAGTCTGTGACACATTCCCAGGGGGTGCATTGTTCTCCCACAGTCTGGTCTCCCAGCATATTGCTGCATCGGACTGTGCTTCCTTGCCACAGTGTAAAAGCCACTCTATGCAGCAGTCAAAACCACCCACTGTCAATGTTGAAGATGGGTGGGTAACTAGATTTCTTCTGGATTTTAAAGTGTGTATATATAAACCACAACAATTAAACCCATTGATTTAAAGTGGTTGTAAGCCTCAGACATGAAATCTGAGCAAAGCACATATTTCTATGTTTGCTTGCCTCTGTCCAAAGCACTGAGTGTCTCTCTGCAGTCTAGTTACTCTGTTATCAGCATGAGTAATTTCTGACCAATTTCCTGTTGTATTGGGTGACACAATGACCTGGGGTGGGTAAGATTTGTGCCCGTGGGGGAGAAGATTTGAACTGGCAGGGGAAATTTGGCAGAGAGAAGCTGTGCGCTGGAAGGGGCGATTTGGGGGGGGGGATTTGAGGGGGTAGAGTTTTTATGCTGGTAGAGGGGATCCTTTGGGTAGGCAGGAGGATTGGTGCTGGGAGGTGTGTGTGTTGTGTGTTGTTTTTTTTGGGGGGGTGGCATTTGTGCCTCGGGAGAGAGGATTTTGGGGAGGAGAGGATTTGTGCCTCGGGAGGGGGGATTTATGGGGGGAAGCAGATTTGTGCTGGCAGGGGGGTTTGGGGGGGAGGAGAGGATTTGTTCTGAAAGGGGGTATTTGTGCTGGGAGAAGGAGGATTTATGGGGGTTTTAGGCAGAGATGAAGAAATGTTTACTGTGAGGACGGTGAATTTTTGGCTTAAAGAGGAAATATGTACTTGGGGGAAGGGAAGGGGGTGGAAGTATGGTGTGGGGTTTTTTTTTCCGGGGAAAAGGGGGATTTTTGCTGAGAGGGTAATATGGAGGAGAATCTTCCTTCTGGGGACACTTGTTCTCTGTTGAGCCCTACTCCTGACTCCAACACTCTGCATTACATATGCCTAAACCCTATACTCTGCACATTACAAACTCCTGACACCTCCATTTTAAACATTCCTTATTACTGACCCTTGCAGTCTGGGTGTTCTACCCCGCTAAACCTGACACTGTACTCGGTCTATTAAGCAATCCTGACCCCAGAACTCTGTGTGTTACATACTCCTAACCTCTGCACACTGTGCATTACTTGCTCCTGACCCCTGCACTGTTTGCATTACATACTCGTGACCTATACATTACACACCCCATATACCCCTGCACTCTGTGCCTTACAGAATCCTGCACTAGATACACTATATTGTACATTAAATACTTCTGACCAACATGTTCATTGTCTTAACAGTTTACTGGTTGCTAAATAGTCCCTAATAAAAAATTCAGTTCTTCTTTTGATAGAATCAGATAAAGTGTCATCTCTTTGCGTATTTTCAGTGTGGACAAAATAATATGTAATGATTGTGGTGAGGTTTTTACATGTCTGCATAGGGGGCAGCATAGTGGCTAAATAGTTAGCACCTCTGCCTGGCAGTACTAGGCTGCCCCCTTGGTTCAAATCCCAATCATGGCACCACCTGCCTGGAGTTTGCATGTTCTCCCTGTGCCTGCATGGGTTTGCTCCGGGAACTCCAGTTTCCTCCCAAACTCCAAAGACATACTGGTAGGTTAATCGGCTCCTGTCTAAATTGGCCCTAGTATGTGTATGTATGAATGTAGGTTAGGGACCTTAGATTGTACACTCCTTGAGGGTTAGGGACTGATGTGAATGTACTATATATATATATATATATATATATATATATATATATATATATATATACAGTGGGGATCGAAAGTTTGGGCACCCCAGCTAAAAAGTTGTATTAATGTGCATAAAGAAGCCAAGGAAAGATGGAAAAATCACCAAAAGGCATCAAATTACAGATTAGACATTCTTATAATATGTCAACAAAAGTTAGATTTTATTTCCATCATTTACACTTTCAAAATAACAGAAAACAAAAAAAATGGCGTCTGCAAAAGTTTGGGCACCCTGCAGAATATATAGCATGCACTGCCCCCTTTGCAAAGCTGAGACCTGCCAGTGTCATGGATTGTTCTCAATCATCGTCTGGGAAGACCAGGTGATGTCAATCTCAAAGGTTTTAAATGCCCAGACTCATCTGACCTTGCCCCAACAATCAGCACCATGGGTTCTTCTAAGCAGTTGTCTAGAAAACTGAAACTGAAAATAGTTGACGCTCACAAAGCTGGAGAAGGCTATAAGAAGATAGCAAAGCATTTTCACATGTCAATATCCTCTGTTCGGAATGTAATTAAGAAATGGCAGTCATCAGGAACAGTGGAAGTTAAAGCAAGATCTAGAAGACCAAGAAAATATCAGACAGAACAGCTCGCAGGATTGTGAGAAAAACAATTCAAAACCCACGTTTGACTGCACAATCCCTCCAGAAAGATCTGGCAGACACTGGAGTTGTGGTACACTATTCCACTATAAAGAGATACTTGTACAAATATGGTCTTCATGGAAGAGTCATCAGAAGAAAACCTCTTCTACGTCCTCACCACAAAAATCATCGTTTGAACTTTGCAAATGAACATGTAGACAAGCCTGATGCATTTTGGAAACAAGTTCTGTGGACCGATGAGGTTAAAATTGAACTTTTTGGCCCGGAATGAGCAAAGGTACGTTTGGAGAAGAAGGGGCACAGAATTTAATGAAAAGAACCTCTGTCCAACTGTGAAGCATGGGGTTGGATCAATCATGCTTTGGGGTTGTGTTGCAGCCAGTGGCACAGGGAACATCTCACGAGTAGAAGGAAAAATGGATTCAATAAAATTTCAGCAAATTTTGGATGGTAACTTGATGCCATCTGTGAAAAAGCTGAAGTTAAAGAGAGGATGGCTTCTACAAATGGATAATGATCCTAAACATACCTCGAAATCCACAGGGGATTACATCAAGAGGCGTAAACTGAAGGTTTTGCCATGGCCTTCACAATCTCCTGACCTCAACATAATTGAAAATCTATGGATAGACCTTAAAAGAGCAGTGCGTGACAGACAGCCCAGAAATCTCAAAGAACTGGAAGACTTTTGTAAGGAAGAATGGGCAAAGCTACTTCAAACAAGAATTGAAAGACTCTTGGCTGGCTACAAAAAGCGTTTACAAGCTGTGATACTTGCCAAAGGAGGCAGTACAAGATATTAACTCTGCAGGGTGCCCAAACTTTTGCAGACGCCTTTTTTTGTTTTCTGTTATTTTGAAAGTGTAAATGATGGAAATAAAATCTAACTTTTGTTGACATATTATAAGAATGTCTAATCTGTAATTTGATGCCTTTTGGAGATTTTTCCATCTTTCCTTGGCTTCTTTATGCACATTAATACAAATTTTTTAGCTGGGGTGCCCAAACTTTCGATCCCCACTGTATGTGTGTATATATATATATATATATATATATATATATATGTAAAGCTATAGAAGTACCTGTAATAAATAAAATAATGTCTGCCAGACTCTTGCTTGTGGCACAGTAATCATAGCATATGTAATGGGTAGTAGGCAGCTTGTATTTTATTTGGCAATGCCCCTATCACTGTTGCAATTTGGCTACACCATCTGTTTGCTCCGGTAGGTTATATATGTGCTGAATTGTTCCTCTTGTGTAAGCAGTTTGCACTTAGTGCTGCCCCAGGCAGGAGGGTTAGAGGTAACTTGCTGCCTGGGTCTTTCTTGGCAGGCTTTTTTGGGTCCGGCCCGCTGGTCCTGTGCTGGATAAATTAGGACAGGGGCGCTCAGGCATACTCAGCTCAGTACAAAGGTGGACAGGCAGGAAAGTAACGTTAACAAATGTCTCTTCCGCATTAAAAATCCTGCCTGTTCACCCATTTTTATTACTTTAGCTAAAGTTCCACTTTTAGATTAATTCCCACTGGAACTCTTCTATATGCTTTTTGCAGTAGAAAACCACATTTTGTTTTTTCAAACACTTTTGGGCGTGTCAAGTGCTTGGGCATTTTATTAATTTCATTGGCCTGAATATTAATGTATGAACTCAAGTGTGCATGAGGCCTTAAGCACACAGAGTGATGGCAGAAACACGGAAAGTTACGTCAGCTGCAAACTTTTTTGGCATGAAATGATGGCATATTGGCTGGGAAAATCCATTTTGGTGCAGTGATCCTGCTTTTGAAACCAGCTAGCGCTGAAAGGGGGGTGTTGGAACCTGCAAAGTCACAGGTTAATGTGATCATTTGCAAAACTGTCCCCATTGGCCGGATTTGTCTACAAGCATCACATATTGTATCTATGGGTAGCCATATACATGCACTGAGATAAGAGAAACAGCACCACAATTACAATAAATCAATACTAGGCAAGCCCAAAATATATATATATTTATAGAAATATTGAGCCCCTGTTCATACTAATGCGGTTAACCTTAAGTAATCCTAAAAATACTCCCTCCCCCGCCCCAGGGCCATCTTTAGCGCAGGGCAAAAGGGGCAGCTACTCTTGGCCCAGTTTTTGAAGTGAGGACCAAAGCAGCTGTCCCTTGAGCCCCGCTGATAAATTAAGTGCATCATTTTTCCCTTGCCGGTATCTGGCACAGGTTAAGTCTTCCCTCTAATGGCCCCCCCATCATTACACAGGACCCCTTCCCTCAAATTACGAATCATTACACAGGTCCCCCCTCCCCCACCAATACACAGGATCCCCCCCATACTTCCCCATCATTACACAAGCCCCCTTCCCCCCCATACTACCCCCCATTATTACACAGGACCCCAATCACATATCAGTACACTGGATCTCCCCCCCCCCATAATTACACAGGACCCTTACGAGTGGGGAGGGGGGGTTACTTAGCTCAGTCTGAGTCTCTTCCCCAAAGATGTGCTGCTCCCCTCCTTGAGCTCTTCTGCAGGCAGCTTCCGGGTGACTCCGATCTGCCAGTTCAGTGGCGTGTGTTCTTCAGTGACAACATGTTCAACCCTGAGTCCGGCTCCCCCTCTCCCTCCTCTGACAAATTTGCTGCAGAACTTCTTGGAGGGGAGAGGATGGGGCAGCTGAGTATTGTAGTGCGGGTTCACCCCCTTCCCTCCCTCCCCCTGCATTTCCCAGCCATTGCTCCATAGCAGAATATGGAGAAGGAGCGGTGCTTGTGAAGTCTGGCAACTGCCACTCTACACCCTCAACAATAACCACCCTGTCCATCTCTCCACCCTCAACAATAACCCCCCTTTCTACTTGTAAGGGTCCTGTGTATTTATGGGGGAGGAGGTCCAGTGTACTGATATGTGATTGGGGTCCTGTGTAATAATGGTGGGTAGTATGGGGGGAATGGGGCTTTTGTAATGATGGGGAAGTATGGGGGGAGGGTTCCTGTGTATTGGTGGGGGAGGGGGGACCTGTGTAATGATTGTAATTTGAGGGAAGGGGTCCTGTGTAATGATGGGGGGGTGCAGAAGCGCATGGGGGCCCAAGAAAATGTTTGCCCATGGTCCAATCAATATTAAAGATGGCCTTGGCTTGATAAAGGAGGGTGAGTGATTAGATTTGTGCTGGAGGGAATTTTTGTTGGGGTCAAAATTTGAGGGGAGGGGGCAAAAATTTGCATTCCTTTCCTTACCTTCACTTTATGTGTTACACGCTGCGACTTCTGCAATCTGTGAATTCTACACTTCTGACCCTTGCACTTTGTGCAATAAATGTACTCTAACACCCCCCCCCCCCACTCTAACCCTTGTACTCCATGCATTACACACCCCCTGCACACTTTGCAGTACACACCCCCTGACCCTGCATTGTGCATGTGTGTAAACAGCCCTGGTCCCTGTAATCTATGCCTTTCACACTCCTGACCCCTGCAGTCTGTGTTCTGGACTTCTGTACTATATTGTACATCGCATACTCCTGACACATGCACTCCTTGCTATACTGTACATTACATTATTATTATTATACAGGATTTATATAGCGCCAACAGTTTGCTCAGCGCTTTACAATATAACGGGAGACAATGCAATACAGTTCAATACAAGAGGGATAGGAGGGCCCTGCTCCTTGGAGCTTACAATCTAGGAGATGCTCCTGACTAAACTATTAAAAGTCACAGTTGCTGGTTTCTAAGCAGCCCCTGACTATTTAAATGATGGTATGCTCAAACAAAGTGTTTGGCTTTATTTACCATGCCTCATTAAGCCCCTCCACCTGTTAACGTAATTTGCCCACACCCACCGTTTGCCGTGGTGATGATTTCTCCTATTATCATCTCCCTCCCCCAGTCTGAGCCCTGCTGTACTGGAGACTGCAAGAGGCTGATACCAAGCCAAGTATAGATATTTGCTCGCATTCTAAAATTAAATGTAATAAATGTAAAAAATGTATTCAGAATTGCATAACTTTGTCTCTTTATATCAGCCTGGAGATTTGTTTTTTTTAATCAGCACAGAGTGTAGCTCTGATGCAGGTATGCGCAGTAACAAATATTAATATTATTATTTTTTTTTTGTAATTGCTAAAAAAAAGTCCTTCTCTTACCTTGTTCTCGTCTAAACCTTCCATTACTGGCGGCATATCAGCCTTGCACTGGAGAAAGAAGAGTACCACAATGGTGGCAATGATTCGGATCATCTTCGATATTGAGCTGAGTGATTGCTGTGATGAGATGGATGCCTGGTGCCTATATTTATACACGCCTCTGTGTCAGGAAGGAGACAGTGCGAATAAGAGCCCATTGTTTGCTAAGTATATTATATAACGGAAACCGGACTTCTTATAACACAATTTCTGCCAAAATTTTAGAAAATCTCCCAGAACATTCAGTGCAATGTGGAATTTTTATGAGAATGCTCCTGTATCATTTTCACAATAATGCCACTGATAGGGTAAAGCTTGAGATTCCAACTGGGTTGGTAATGGTCTCTGTCATTGTGGTGCATTTATAAATGGTTCTATAGACTGTAGTTAGGCTTGGTTAAAGCACAACTCCAGCCAAACCTTGTTTTGGACAGAGAGGGGAAGATTAGAACCTCTGTTATGTTTTTATTGCTGGTTCCATTGCTATTGGCAAATAGTCCCTCACTTCTTGTCCTGGTGCTCACATTCTGAGGAATATTGGTATAAAAATGTAAGGTTCCCAGCTTCAATCGTGTCAAGTTTTTTTTTAATGCTGTCTGCTTCTGCAGGGGAAAGTTATTATCTCTGTTTGTACTAGCGACTATTGTCACCGGGACTGAAAGTGACGGAAATTAAAATTTTGAGTTGTCCCCAGAACAGGAGATGATTGACCAGATTTTGGAGATTTTTCCTCTTGTTCCCTTATGTGTCTCCTGAGACGAGAAGTAAAGGGAGACCTTAAAGCGGAACTTCCCCTTTTGGGTGCAGCTCCATTTTAAGACCTCATCCCCTGCTCCCTGTTAAGGATCCGCACCTTTTGAGGAGCGGATACCTGATTTTGACAGGTTCCCACTTCTGCTGCGATTGCCTAGACGATCGGAAGCTGTCCTCCCACCCGTTGTCTTCTGGGACATGCATGTGCAGTGGACACTTGGCTGTGAAGCCACAAGCTGTCCATCGTTAAGATGCTAGCACCGGGGAAAGAGGACAGCAGGTGAAACCAGCTGCAGTGAGGACACTGCTGGATCGAGGAACAAGTGAGTGTCTGGCTGTTTGTCTGTTTGTCAGCGGCTACAGTTTTTGGGAGCAGGTGGAATAATCTTCTGTTCTGTGGCTCCTGACAATTAAGGTTCTGGCCTTTCTTCTATATAAATGTAAGCAGGTGTAGTCCATTTTCTCCACTCCAAGTGGCACTCAACCGCAGCGGCAGTGCAGCGGGAGAGGAAGCTAAGAGAAACCTTATTCATAACAGTATTCCTCTATGGTTTCCTGGATCACTGGGGACGTGACCTGGTTGGATGCTGCCACCCCATGTGACTTTGGTGGCAGTCTTGGGTCAGGCAGTCCATTTGACCCCTTTGAGGTGGATTATACCTCCCTTTTTTTTTTTTTTTTTTCCATTTGGGCTTCCATTTGGTGGTAAATGGTAATGGATGGCTCCTGATGTTATTATTTTTTTATAAATTATTATTAAAGGAAAACTAGCCCAAAATCTTTGTTTAATTTAGATTTGTTTCCTGTTACTTTCATAGCCTACCACCAAAGAACAACCCAATATATTTTCTCTCTGCTCCTAACAATTGCAGGGATACCACATATGTGTATGATATTTGTTTTGTACTCGTAGTACAGCCCAGAAACAATAATGCGCATTTTGCTTTTGCTTTTTTTTTTTTTTCTTTTGTCCTACCTAAAACATTGGCACTAATAGACACTGATACTAATTTTAATAAATTTAAGAAAAAAAAAAATCTTGACCTTGACCCAAACACTAACCCTAGATGACCTAGATACCTTGATCTAGGTATTTTTTTTTCTTTATTAATAATTTTTTTTAGTATTTATTTTGTTTTTTCTCTTTCTGCAAGGATAGCGAAAGATACAATGTATCTCTCTCCTCCGTTCAAAGAGATTTAAAACATGGGGGCGGGCTTCACAGTGACTGATCACTGTGATAGCCAATCAGAGGCTATCACAGCGATCAGGTGACCCTGAATCAGGTGTTCCAGGTCCCAATCGTTAGTTTGGGACCTGGGGCTCTCAGTGACACCCCGGTCTTTGCTGGGAGCGCGCTGTGCGGCGCGTTTCCACCACAAGGACAGATACACAAATATGCTGCCCCACGGAAAATATCCTAGTTCTGTGAGGCTGCATATTTGTGTGAACTCGGCGTCAAGGAATTAAGATCCTGGCTCCCGATCTTGACGCACATTTTTCAAATGGACAGTTTAGGGATAGGCCAAAAGTCTTGCATGGAAAGTGAACAGCGGTAGGGAAAGGTTCCAGGTGAAGGACAAGCCATCCTTCCTGGAATCCTCCCATTTGGGCACAGACCAGCCAGGCTGCATTCCCCTCTCTGAGACTTTCAGCACATTCGAGACCTGCTCTGTTACACGTTGCTGTCAAAACCTGTAAGTGTTTCTAGTCAGGTGCCTTCCCACTGGGCTGTTTGTACCATGGACCTTTGCCTTCAATACAAGTTCTGTTTACTGCAGCTGGACTTTGTGTAATCACTGCCACCACACCACACTGCATCTTTCCACAAATATGCCAAGGCAGGCTGGGATTTAAATTCAATTGATGGAAACCTCAGCACAGAGGATTTATCTACCTGATCCTGGAAATTAGTTATTGGAAGCCTGTATTACAAGGTGACAATGTAGGATCAGAATTGGGAGACAGGAACAGAATGTTGTCATCCTAAGAAAGGATGTGCCTGAACACTGACTTTCATGGCAGGATCACTAGGCATTATTTTAATGAAAGCTGCAGATGTACAAATATTGAAAGCTGCTTTTTATATCATATTAATATGTCAAATCGTATATAAGATTTTTGTAATTGAGTTTACATTACTTTAACTTGATACAGAACAAATAGGCTTCACTTTGGAGCCCCAATATGCCCTCATCATGTAATTATCCTATAAGGAACTTTCTAGTTATAAAGTTAAATGATCAAGTTCACTTAAATTTAGGTTTAGATCAGGGGTATGACAACCCTAAAGAGGTGGAGATCTACCTGAAAACATGGGAGAAGTCAAAGATCACCGGGCACAGTGTCACCTCCTCAAACCTGATTTAAATCTCTAATTGCTGCACTACCGTTACGCAATCACATGCCTTGCACGCCAATCATGGGTTTAAATCAGGTGGTGGGGAGGCAACATATCGCCTCCACACCACCTGTCAAACACACTTGGATCGCTTTTCAGAGGAGCAGCCTGCTGCTCTTGTGATTGAGCCCTTAGATGCATTTGGCAGAGGCACCCTTAGGGCTCATTCACATGTAAATTTGGGGGGTAGAAAAACCCTGTGGTTGAGTCATGGTTTTACCACCCCAAATTCCTATCCCCTTTAGCTGCTGAGGTAGCAGCCAAAGCTGTACATATGCTGTAGCAGGAATTAAACCCTCTGCTGCTTATGGTGGGTGCTACCACCTGCTAATCGCAACCAATTCAAGTAAATAAGGCCACTCTGCAAGCGCCCCACAACTGCATGTTTCTACGGGGTCCAAGGAGTTAAAGCAGGTGGTGAAAAGGCAACACGCCGCTGCCTGCTTTAACCCCTTGTTTGCTGTCCTGCACAAGGTTGCAGGGCACTTGCAGAGTGGCCTCTTTCACATGAATGGGTCATGCTTAGCAGGCGCTACACCCACCAACCATGTCAGGGTGTATGTGTACACCTCTGGCCACTGTAGCTAAAAGGGGTGCGATTGGGGCGGGGGTGGTAAAAACACATCTCAATAATGGGGTTTTACTACCCCCAAACTGCAAATGTAAATGAACCCTTCTTGTTCTGAGCCCCCTATAAGGCTGCTTTCACACCTATGTGCTGCGGTTTACATGCACCATGGATGCAGCGCAGGGCATCTGTGACTTTATTGGGTTAGCTGCACTTTGCCATAGACTTCTATTATATCCTGCAGGTGTGGTGCACTTTCTGAAAATGTGCCAAACCCACAGGATATAATAGAAGTCTATGGCTAACCGCAGCAGACCTGCAGGCACACTGCACTGTAACCACAGTGTGGGAAAATCACAGCACATCAGTTGGAAAGCAGCCCCATGCTATCATGTCCAGTGTATTGCTTCACACTGACCTGAAGATCTCTTCTTTCTCTGGAGGCCACTAGCCGGGATAAGAGGTGGAGTGCAGATGGTATCACTCTGCATGGGACAGGAGCCAGTACTACAGAGGAGGTATCGTCTTATGTGGCTCTTACGCCCTGCTACAGCTCCAACTTTACAAGTAGCCTCTCTACACTGCACTCTGTTTTATGCTCTGGAATGGCGGGTCAGCAAACCCAGACCTCGATCTACCAGTCACCTGGCCGCGATCTACTGGTTGCTGACCCCTGGTTTAGAGTCTACCTCCTGGCTAATTTATTAGCTTAAAAATGTCCCCAGCCAGTGTAAGAAGAAAAAAATGAAAGCAGCTTTCGTTGCAATACTCACAAGCAATTTGGTTGTCATGGGCCGGCCCCTAAGTACCCTACATTGACTGTGTATTGGCACAGAGTGATACAAAGGTGGCTCTTTTCATCAGGACTGCCCAGCCGGTAGAAGAGGCAAAAAGGAAGAGGACTCTGCAGCATCACATGACCAGCCTGGAGACTTCAGATAAGGTAGTATAAGACTATTAGTGGGGGCCACAAGAGTGGGTCAATGTTGAGGGGGCTTACAGAGCCTGGAATCGGGTCTTTCAACCTTCCTTCAAGGCTGAGGCAGTATGGCCCTTGACATACCAAAAGAGAACTGCTGAGAGGTTCTCTGTATTTGGTCAGCACCTTGCAGTAAAGTAATTTTGGAACGTCTCGGAGGGAGCTATGAAAAATAAGGCAATAGTTTTTAGTAAGCTCTTTGCTTGGACTTGTTGGACTTGGTGAATGGAGCTGGTCAGGCGTGATTGACTGTTTTTCATCTTGAGTACAGATAATTCTCCTTATCTCCTGCTTATATCAGGTCTGATCATATTATCGCTCTTATCAGAGCTTAACTGTCCTGGATC